CTGTCCACCCATTGGCCTGAACACCCGCTCATCCCAAATGGGTCCCGCCTTGCGTTGGGCCAGGGAGGGGGCGGAGCGGAGGGGCTGGCCTGAGACCTGGAGGAGGGGAAGAGGAGGGGGCAGTGTCCGCAGCGGCCGGGGAGCCGAGCACCGCCCCATCAAGGGCTCCCACTCCTTCAAGAGGGGCTTCTGTAGGGTCAGCACCTCGTGAGGGAAGGGTATGAGAGGTTAAAGATAGGCTAGGTTGTGATGAGACAGGGACTTAGGTGATTGAGGGAGGGGGTCCCGTGAGGGGCTATAATCAGGTCAGGGCCCCGGGAGGTAGGGGGAGGGGAGCCACCCGGCCATCAACTCCAGCTCCTCCGCCCCACCCACCCCCCCTCAGAGGGAGAGGGGGAGTTGAGGCTGCGGGCACCCTGCGTCCCTCCCCACGCGTGACGGCGCCCCGCGGGGAGGGAAAGGCGCCCTGGGCTAGCAGCCTCTGCGCTCCAGCCGGTGCCCGCTGCGGCCTTGGCATTGTCGGAGGGGAGGGGCTGGGTCCGCTAAGAGGGAGGGGGAGGCGCGCTCACGCTCATGCTCCCCGCCTCCATCCCGCCGTTCCTTAAGTGGAGAAACTGAGTCTCCGCGAAGGAGGGACCTCTGGACTTGGATTCGCTCAGAGACCTAGGTGGTCTGTGTGTTTTAGAATTGTGTGTGGGTTTGGGGGAAGTCAGGATGCGTACTTCAGTGCCCCCCAAATGAGGAAGGTAGTCTGTGTGGGACGCTTCCAGCTGGGCCTGAGGCGCTACGTACCCCAAAGAGCCCCTCCCAGTAGTATAAAACGGATTCATATCCGGCTACCGCGGGCCAGATTCCACTCCCCGCGGCCGGCCGGGCCGAACCGGGTCGGACTCGCTTTCTCCAACCCCACCCCCTTCCGCAGGGGGCCTCCCTCCCTTTCCAGCAGGTGGCTCCGCGGGACACCAGCTCAACCTGTTGGACCACAATGGGCGGCGCCAGGGGGGCCCTGGCCCTCACCCGGGCTGACCCGGGATCCCCGCGCAGGGGGAGGGGCGGAGTCCCGGTCCCTCCCTCTCCCTCCCGCCGTGACTCAGCCTCGGGGCCGCTGCCCTGCTCCCCAGCCAGGGGCGGAAAGTGTGAGGCGCCCCTGAGGGCCCAGGCCAAACCAAACAGCCCCCCACCCCAGACATTATCTCACTGGAGAATTAGGGGGGCTCTAGGAAGGAGGGGGTAGCAGCAGCAGGCATGGGGCGCTCCTACTCGGGTAATCCGCTCCGGATTTTCCTGTCGTCCCTGTCCCCCTTGGGTCCAGAGGTTGGTCACTGCTCCGGGTTTTCTTCTCGGCCCCGCTGGACAGATTCTGGTTCGTGAGGGCCCAGAAGTCGGTGGGGTCCAGGCCAGGGTTTTTCCTTTCCTTCTCCAGCCTTCGGGGTCGCGCTAGCCTGAGGAAGGGCTATGCTAGGGGCTAGACGACAGTGTCAGATACACAAGTGAAATGGAGAGGGGCTGCCTCGGGGTGGAGGGGGGCATGGCCGAAGAAAGGGGGGGGGAGTGGCTCAGGGAGGACAGAGCCAGGGCCTCCAGAGGCAATAGAAGGAAGAGTGCCTTGGCACCAGCCCTTAGGTTATAGTGAAGCGAATAGGAGGCTCGCCCCGACCCTTAGGGGTTCGCGCCAGGCGTCTTGCTGGACCGAGCCTGGATCTTTCAAGGCCAGAATGCCATTTCTCACTTGAGTCTCGACAGTCCAGGAACCTCCTGTTAGTTCCTCAGTGACCCCCTCCCACATTCTCTTCTGGTCCACACAGCTCCCCCTTCCTCGCTCAGAAGTCGGAGGGGGAACCCCGACTTGAAATTCCCGCCTACCCCCCAACTCCGGGCCTTTATCGCGCCAAACCACTGAGACTGCTGCGGCCAAGAAACGCTGACTGGGGGCCCGCCCCCTCCCAGGAAACCCCGGCCGGGCCCGTGGGGCCTGCCACCACCTCTGCCCCGACACGAGGCCCGTACTGGAACTGGGAAGTGGAGGGCAGGTGTGGGATCTCTAGGGGCCTCCTGGGGATCGGGGAGCGTCCCAGATCCGCACGTTCAAACTTAAGTCGTCAGACGGCCAACTAGTCCTTAATTTGGGGGGGAAATTAGCAGGAGATGGGTAAATACCCGGAGAGTGAGGTGGTTGACTGAAGAAAAGGATGAAAGCCCAGGTTGGGAGTTAACCCCTTCTAGGGAGAACTGCGCACCTGGGGTTGGGGACTGATTCAGAGTGACAGCCAGGTGCTAGGACTGGCCCGGCCACGTGCGTCAAACGGGCAGCTGCGGAGGAGTTAGATGCTTGCAGAGCCCGGCGGAGAGAGAGAGCTTCTGGAGGGAAGAAAGGCAAGGCTCTGCCTAGGCGGAGTCCCGAGTGAGTGGGTCTAGGGGCCCGTTTTGGAATGTGGGGGGGGCTGAGCTGGAAGCGGAGCGTCAGCCTGCGACCGGCGCCCACCTCTTCCCCGCTCCCCCCCTTCCCAGGGCTGCCTCCGCTTCCCTCGAAAAACCCGCCGCCCAGGAAACCACTGGGGGCGCTCAGACCGCAGCCCCGGCGCCCCCACCGCGACCGCCCAACCCACCTGAAGGGGCCGTGGCTGCCAGGGTTGCCCCCCTCCCGCCGACTCCCCCCACACCTGCGGGCGGCACTATTTATAACCCGGCGCCTATTCCGGGCCTCTGGGCGGGAGCCTGCTGCTGCGCAGCACTAATCGTCGCCGGGATCTCTGCGCCCCCCAGGGCGGGGGGAGATAAATTTAGCCTCAGGAAGCTCGGGGGAACATTTTCCAAAACTCCACGTCCCAGAGAAGGCGAAACAGAACCCTCTGCCCTCAGCCTCCCTCGGGCCAACCACGAGGCGGCGCAGGTCCCCCGGCTTCTCGAACCCAGCAGGCAGTCGGGTCGCTGCTTCGAAGCCGCGGTGGGTTAAGTGCTGAGAACGAACGACCGCAGGGTACTGAGGGGGCGGAGGTCAGAGAGGCCAGAGAATAGCCAGAAGAGTAGGTATGCCCCCAAAGCTGGCAAAGAGTCTGGAGTAGAAAGTCACAGCCGGGCGTAACTGTGAAAGGACTTCTGCCCTTCGAAGGGGAAATAACTCATATGCAAACAGGATGCAAATAGGAACACAAATAAGAGCCTATGCCCTTGGTAGAGGGGTGGTCTGTGCTCTGGTGCTAGAGAAACAACTGCCGCACTCCTCTTTCTGCCTGCCTCTCAGCGTTGCTGGGAAAACGTAGGACCCCCCCCCCCCCGCCAAGATCATCATTGTAATATCCAGTTTATTGCGCGCGGCTCCTCAGACCACTTCTCATGACCACTCTCCTCCACCTGTCTTCTGCACACCACTGAGGGTCTTATATCCAACGTAATCAGCTAGGAATCCTGGATGTCAGGCCGCACCTCCTCCTCATGCTGCTATTCTTGGGGGTCACTTCCAGCTCTGCGTTGTCTCCTCCATTTTACTCCGCCCATTCCTCTACCTATTGTGGCCACTAGAGCGCCCCGGGGAGCCGAGGGGTAGATGAAATCTTACCCATCCTTCCCTGTCTTGGAGAGCTCCCTTTATCCGCTCCCCCAATCTCCCCCGCAGTGAGTTCCTGAGAGAGTAGCCTGGACACTCAAAATCCTGAGCTTTCTCTGGTTGGGAAGAGAACATTGCAGGGAAACTGCCACATCTCTCTTTCCTTTCTAGAGGAGTGAGGAGGTGTAGTGCAGGGGATCATCTCCTGGCCTTGGATTACATGGAAAGGGGCTAGCTGGGCCTCCCAACTGAGCTGGGGAGCTCAAGGCCAAGGGGAGCTCAGGGTTGAGGTGAAGTGGGAAACATGGGTAGGTGCAGAATGTGGGTGGTAGTCCCCTCCACAATTTTGCTGGCCTGGCCCTGCCTCCACTGCTACTAAGGCCACCATCCTAAGCACTAGTTCAGAAGAGGAAGGCAGGCTAATCGAGAGAAGCCCAGAATTGGAGGTGAGAAAATCTGGGTTCACTGAATGACTACCCTACTGGAGTGTGCGGTGTGTGTGACTTTGGAGGGGTCCTTTCACCTGCCTGGGCTTGTTCCTTCACATTAAGATGGGATAAGTGGACTTTTGTAAGGCTCAAAGCACTTTGTAGCTAAAAAGGGCTCTTGGAATGGTATATGAGGTTTTGTTACTCTCCCCATCCTTCTCCTCAGTCTTTCTACTTTCAGGGCTCTCTTTCCATCTCTGACACTCTCTTGGGGCTACTGGCAGTCTTCACTCCTCTCCCTCCTTCAGCTCCCCAGCACTGGTCCCACCACATGCCACAGCCCACAGCACCCTGCCTTCCTCCACCTACCACTTCCCCAGTGGCCTTTGCCAGACATCCCCTCCCCTAGCAAAAGCCCCTGTGCTCAGAACTCTCAGGCTCCAGGATCCACCTTCAGACACTGCCCCAGCTTGGTGGGAGTGGGGCCTAAGAAAGGAAAAGGAGGCAGACAGCTAGAGCTTGAGTCAGGAAAGGGCTGGAGCTGCCAAGCAGGGTGCAGGATATGAGGGGGAGGGGGAACCCCAAATTCAGGTGGGAAGGTGAAGTCTGTGTCTACCACTACCACTAACCTCTGTCTGGTTGGATTGAGGACCTTCTCACTACTGTGCCATGAGGCAAGAGCAGTGACCTGTGTTTTGTGGATGCCTAAAGGGGGGCTGCCAGGGATGAGAAATTATCTTGAATTAGATTATTGTAGAGTACCATGCTACTGTCTAGAAGAATGGACAGGCTCTAGGTATACTGAAGCGGAATCCTGCACAGGGTACATTCAGAGAAAACAGCAAGGTGCAGAATGGGGGGTAGAGCATGTTACCAACTACAAGGACAAGTGTATGCAGAAGGAAGCCACTTCCAACCACTGCGATCGCTATAACCCTGCTCTGAGCCACCAATGTGTCTGGCCCCGGTTGTGTGCGTTACCTCCTAAAAGGTCTCTCCTCTTCTACCCTTGCTCCCCTAAAGTCTATTCTCAACCCAGCAGCCAGTGTGAGCCTTTTAAAATTTAAAAAAAAAAATGAGTTCATGCTCAGTTGCCTGCAATAGTTCCTCATTTCACTCAGCATAAAATCTCAAGTTCTTACCCTGGCCTCCTAGACCTTCCATAATCTGCCCCAACTCCCATCCCCAGCTGGACTTTTTCTTTTCCCATAGCACTTATCATCTAATAACATCAATGAACTTATTTTTTTATGTTTATATTTTATTTTCTGTGTCCACCCACCAGAACTTCAGCTCCATGAATACAGGGATCTATTTTGATGACATTGGCCATGTTCAGGGTGGTATGGCCATAGACAGCTACAGGGATCTGTTTTGTTCGCTGCCGTATTCAAAGTGGCCAGTTTGGCATACAGCAGATGCTCAGTAATTTTTGTTAAATGGATGAATGAATGCATGTTTACTGCCATTTCCAACAATATAGATGGAACTGGAGGGTATTATGCTTAGTGAAATAAGTCAGATAAAGATAAATACTGTATGTTATCACTTATATGTGGAATCTAAAAAATAAAACAAATGAATGAATATAACAAAACAGAAACAGGCTTACAGATCTAGAGAACAAACGAGTGGTTACTAGTGGAGAGGGAAGGGAGAGGGGTAAAATAGAGGTAGGGGATTAAGAGGTATAAACTACTATGTATAAAATAAATAAGCTATAGGGGTATATTTTGTAGCACAGGGAATATAGCCAATCTTTTATAAGAACTTTAACTGTAATATAATTTATAAAAATTTTGAATCACTATGTTATACACCCGAAACTAAAGTAATATGGTAAATCAAATTTAAAAACTGAAAAAAAATGAATGAATGAATGAATGAATCAATGAAGATGCAGTATATGCATAGACTATCTCTGGAATGCTGTCCAAGAAACTGGTCACCATGGTTACCTCCATGGAGGACAGCTGGGGGGTTGGGGGTGGGTGTGGGGGAGGGAGGTACTTTTTACTACCAGAATTCTTTACTCTAGGCATATATAACTTTGACCAAAAAACCCCCAGAAAAACAAAAAAACAAACAAAGAAAGAAAATAAGTCCAGAGAAAAAGGAGTAAACTAAGAAGTCGGAATAAGATCTGGTCCCTGAATGTGGGGGAGGGCAGCAGACATGACTTCCAGGCCAGTGTCCCAGGAGAGAAAGGGGGAGGGGCAATAACTGGATCCCAAGACGGGCCAGGGAATTCTGGGTAGAGATCCCAGGGACACTTTGAACAAGCCCTCTGGCTGGCTCTGAGGTCATGGGGGGCTGTGAGTAGGCCTGTCAGTAAGCAGGAGCAAGACGATGCAAGTGGCTGGTGTGTACCTACCACTGGGAGTGATTCAGGAGACTATGTGTTGGTGGTTGCCAAGGGGAAGTGAAGAGTCAATTCTGCTCATTCTGGCTTTGTGTCCTGTGCACTGTCATAAGCCTGAGGGACCTGTGTGGCCACATAGGCAGCCTTCTCTTGCAGCTTTGTGTGTGAGCTGGAAGAGAGGGGGCTGACTTCCTCTGTGAGCTGGGGACTCATGTCAGCCCAGTGCTTTCCCCAAGATCTTTAGAGGCAGGAAGCTGGCCAGACCAGGTCTTCTATTTGGGTTCCCATCCTTACATGCAGGCCTCCCAGAAGACCCCGCCCAAACTGGACTCCTCCCTATCTACAAGCTGGGAGGAACCTGGCCTTTCCACCCTCCACCCTCCGCACCCAGGCACCAGTGAGTCAGGAAACCTGGCTTTCAGTCTTGGCTCTATCTAGGACAACCTCCTTCCACCCCGGGTCTGCACCCTGGCTCCCAAGTCCTTTCAGTGCTGATTTTTCTGCTTCCCCTTTACACATTTAGAACTTTTGACCTCAAGGCTTATTTATTGTATATATAGTTCAGTGATTCTCAAACAGAGATCCTGGGGCCCAGCCCATTCCTGGTACTAAAAGGACAGTATGGTAAGATAAACCATCTGGGCAGGTGGGCTCACTGTGCCAGGCTTGGAGGAGTGCCAGTTCCTGCTGCAGTCTGACTGCGGTCCTAGCCAGCAGGCCAGGTTCCTGTGCACCATAGGTACACCAGAGGTGGGGGCTGGGAATGGAGATGCCCAGAGATGAGGCAGGTCTGATGGATGGCACAGACTCAAAGCAGGATCGCACTTCACTTGCTGTTCGTGGCCCATCCTTGGGCGAGCACAGCTGGTGCCAGGAGTCTTCACGAGGGCTGGGCCGGGAGCTAAAAAAGAGAACGGGAAGCTGAGAGGCAGGCTGCACCGCAGAAGCTGCAGTCATGCCTCCTGAGGGTTTGCCCCACCCCACCCACCTGAGTGATGCCTGCTCTGGTCCCAGGGGGAGGAGGCAGGTCCCTACTGCCATTAATCCAGCAGCTCCTTGATACACCAGCAGCAGAGGAGGATGTAGGCAACTTCCTTCAGGGTCCGCTGCAGGCCCTCCCACCCTGTGCCCATCTTTATGATGGGCACCCGGAGTCCAGTGTCTTGCAGGACCCCTCCGATGGAGAAGGGTAGGGCCTGGGCTAGGGGCTGTGTCCGGGGCTGCATGAGGGTAGCAGCTCTGGGGAAGGGTGTGGGAGCTGTCTTTAGTGCCTTTTATCAACATGGTCCCCACCCCCTTCAGACCTCATGACTGTGGGGACAAAGGCCCCTGGGTCTAGCACAGGGAAGGTTCTGGGCCAGAGAATGGGCTGAGTCAGCCCCTGTGCTCAGGGATGGGGGTGGGGTGGGGTCAGGAGGAGGAGGGCCTGGCTACTCCATCTTTCATCCTCCACAGCCAGGCCTGCTTAGCTTCCCTTCTTTCAGCCTGCGCCTCAAAACCCTGTGTGCCCTGCCTGCCTGCCTGTCCCTTCCCCCAAAGGTTGGCACCACTCCCTTCTCCTGCCCTCTGGTGGGCTACTGTGCAGGTTGGCACTAAGAATCATCAATGAGAGCTCCTTTCCGGAGCTCTGTCTCCCCTCCTGTGCCCGACCCCTGAGAGTGAGCACTGCCGGCTCCCAGCTACCAGGGCCTGGCCCACTTCTGCTTCTCCCATCCCCAGAAGCAGGAAGACACAGCCAGAGCAACAGGCATATGAGAGGTGGTTTATTAACAGGCTACACCGCGGGACGCCCCCCTTCCCTCCCTCCTCCAGTGGGCGGGAGGTCATGTGCGGGAGTTCCGCTCCTCGTCTTCGTTTTCCAGCAGGTAGGCCGGACGGTAGATGGGCTGCCCTCCTGGGCTCAGGCACTTCAGGGCCGGGTTCCGCACTGTGTTCTCCCGGCTCCCCAGCGACGTGTAGCTGGAGCCAGGAGAGTGGAGGGCACATGTGAGTGCGGTGGGCTCAGTTCTCCCAGTCCCAGTGCCCTCCCATCTTCCCCATACCCATTCTCCTTACCCTCGGTCATATAGGATACAGTAAGGGACAAACAGTTGACGCAGAAAGTCCCAGATGTCTCGGTAGGTCCAGTCCTGGGAGGCCAGAGTGTTGGAGGAGTCACAAATACTCCCCTCTCCCACATCTATCCCCTGCCACCCGGAAAGGGGCCTATCCAGGGTTCTCTGGCTCCCCTGGCCTCTAAGGGAGGGCCTGATACCCGATTCTCTGCTACATCTTGCTCTGTGTAGGTCAACCAATGAGAAAGAGAAAGCTTTCATCCTGTCCCCTCTCCATTCTCAATCCACCTTCCACTGGCACCTAAGCTCCAGGGGGACAGGGAGGGGCTGTGTCTGTGCAAGCCTGAGCCGTCCAGTAGAACTTTTTGCAATGATGGAAATGGTCTATATCTGTGCTAACATGGTGTTCCCTTGACATGTGGCTAGTGCAACTGGAGAACCAAATTTTGAATTGTATTTAAGTTAAAAAATTGAGATACAGTTCACATGCCATGAAATCCATCTTTTAAAGTATATGATTCAGTGGATTTTTTTTAGCAATTTGTATTTCATTTCAATTAATTGCAATTTTATTATAAATAAATGGTTAGTGGCTACCACATAGGACAACCCAGGTCTAAGTCATTGTTCTGTCCATAGGAGAAAGCACAAAGCCTGCCACTGAATTAGTGCTCAATAAAAATTGGTCAAAAGGCTGAATGAACAAATAGCACAGCCTCCCTTGGATGATGGGGCCGTTTCATCCAAGCCCCAGGGCCCAACCTCCCCTGCCTCAGGAAGCTAGGGTGCAATGACTGATAGGGGACACGAGACTGAAGGCAATATATTCTCTTCCCCATTACCAGCAGCGGGTTGATGCGCATGAATGAAGGCCAGTCTGGGTCTGTGGGGCTGAAGGGGCAGAGGCTGCAGGAGTAGGGGTCAGTGCGGCGGGTGCCCATCAGGACAGCCTCCAGCTGGGGGTGCCGTGCCTGCAGCTCGCTCAGGGCCTGCTTCATGTCGCCCTCAGCCTCCAGCACCTGCAGATTGTACCTGAGGAAGAAAGAGGGTTGGGAGTCAAGAGTGGCTCCTGCCAAGCCCCTCCCAGAGCTCAAATCTCCAAGTCCCTCGTACCTTTTGATGGTGTCCTGTAGAAACTGCTCCAGCTCGGGGAAAGGGGAGATGCTGCGGATATACAGGATCTGGAGGGGTTCTTGAGCATCAGGGTATTTCCTGCGGAGGGGACAGAATCCATATGCTTGGCAGCGTGGACAGGGAGATACTCTCCAGAGAGCTTGCCCTGTTTCCTTTGGCCCCTGGGATGGACACCCTCCCCTTCTCCCCTTTCTTTGTCCTTCCCATCCATCAGAACCCACTTCCTCTGGAGAGCACATGATCTCTCACCTCTCAAATCTGGAGAAGACACCCTCTGCTTCAGGTATATAAGCCTTAGCCCCCCGACAGGACCCTGACCTCTCTGTGGCTGGGGATGGTGGCCTGCATATTTATACCTAGGGCCAGGCATGTGTCAGATGCTCAATAAATATGGTGGGGGAGTGGAATGGAGGGGTCACTATGGCTGCCTCCCTCCCAAGCCTCTCCCAGACACCCCCTTTCCTCCCTGCTTCTTAGGATGGGGAACTAGAGAATGGGGCAGATCTACCTCTGGGGTCTTGCCTCCATCGTGTAGGCTCACCTCTGCACAGCAGCGTGGAAGAGGTGCAGGAGGGCGGTGCAGTCCTTGCCCCCGTTGAAGCCCACGCACAGCTGGTTGAGGCTGTACCGAGCCAAGGCCATCTCAATGGTCTGCAGAGCGCCTGCCACCTTTTCCCCCAGAGAAGTCCCTGTGGGGTAGGCAGAGAAGAGGGCATCAGACAGATACAGAGGGGTATCAAAGAGCAAAGGCCAAGTTACCCTTGCTTAAAACCCTTCCATATCTTCCCAGTGTTCCAGATTCCTTCATCTGCTCACTAGGCCACTCAGAGTCTGCCCCCTGCCACCATTCAGCCACATCTCCCTGCACTCTTCACCTCTGTCTTTCCTCTGGGGGTCCTGGTTTCCTTCCATTCTCCTAAACCTCGTGCTGCTTCCTTTCAGACCCTTTCCCACATTGTTTGCTCTTGTCCACCTCCTGGTCTGACCAAATCCTCCTTATCACTCAGCTTACATATCACTCATCCAAAGAAGCCTTCTTTGACCCCAGTCAAGGCTGATCTTCTCGCTGTGGGGACCCCCTCATCACTGACATCTCACGCAAATTACCTGTTTAACATCTATCTTTCCTGTTAAGTTTCTGGTCCAGTGTAGGGCAGACATCTGTCCTATTGAGCTATACCCCCAACACTCAGCACAGTGTTGGTGAAAGCAGGTACTCAATTGATATTTATTGGAAGAATGAATGAAATCGGCTGTAGCTGTCTTCTACCTTCTGGATCAGTGGGGAGCCTCCCACAGCCCCTGCGTTCCTGGCAGCAAGGGTCTGGCGCATGCTGCCCCCTCCCCCCGGGGGCCCCTACCTGACTCGGTGAGTTTGTACACAGCCTCACTGGCCCGCTCCACAGCATTAGGTATGTAGGGGACCAGCGACCCCTGGGGCAGGCGGGCAGTCAGGTAGGCCAGGCATTCCTCCAGGGGCCCTTCTTCCTCTGAGTCCAGTATCAGCTTCACCCGATAGTAGTTGCTGCTCCAGTCAGGGTAGGAACCCAGGCCAAGCCTGCGGCCAAAGTGGGCCTGGGCCTCAGCCAGGATGGGGGCGATAGAGGCCTCATCAGCTGCCACATACAGCTCCCGCAAGTGGAACTGAACAGCTGTATTTTGGAACAGTCCCTTCAGCCCCTCCAGCACCCGCCGCAGCAGCTCCGGAATTCCTGGGAAGAGGTAGACATTTCGGACGGAGACCAGTGGGAATCTGAAGGGGCGGCCAGTGTGAGGATCTGTGCCGTAATGCAGGCGGGCAGAGGAGGGCACCCGAGACAGCTTCTCCCAGCCCTTCCCTCCTAGGGCTTTGATGGCCGCTTCCAGCTCAGGGTGTGGCTTGAGCTCATCCCCAAAGGCCTGCGCTACTGCCTCAAAGGTCACATCATCATGGGTGGGGCCGATGCCCCCTGCTGTGAGGACATGGGTGAAGCGGCTGGAGAAAGACGTGACCTCAGCCGCAATTATGGCTACCTCGTCAGGTACGACAGAGACTCGGCACACCTGGACGCCCAGGGAGCGCAGTGTCCGGCACAGAAAGTAGGTGTTGGTGTCCTGAGTGTGTCCCTGGGGGGTTGGGAATGGGGAAGATGAGAGTGTCAGTACTGTGGGGATGAAGGGCAAAGGGGGAAGGGATCAGGCTGCATCTGCCTGATGACAGGGCACTCTGTTCTTTGGGGGACACCACCTTGGGATGCCAAGAAGCCTGGATAGGGCACAAGAGTGGGAAAATCCATGTGAACGGAGTCAGGGATAACGTGATCCACCTTGAGCCTCCATCTCTGCACTCTGATCTTGACCTCTGCTTATGGATTCAATTATCAATTGTATGTGGACAACTCATCCAATTCCTCACCAATCCTGACAGTTTCAGCCCCTTGGCTCCAAGTGCTTACTGGGCATCTTCACGTTATCCCTGGCTGTTGTCACTTTGGTGGTCAGCAGCATCCCCAGACACTGTCCACAGCCAGTCAGGCCCTTCATGCTGTCAACTTGACTCTGAAATGTCTCTCCATCTGCTCTCTTCTTTCTGCCCCTACTGACACCAAACAGGTCCTTGGCAACTTTCACCTGGACACTGGCAGCAGACCCCTGGCCAGGCTCCCAGCCTCCACCCACAGCTCTGCCCTGTACCTCCTGAATAACCTTCCTAACATGTCGCCATGATTGCATCACTCTTGGCCCAAAAGCTATTTGTTGTTTCCAACGATACACAGAATAAAGTTCAAATTTCTTTGCAGAACGTTCGAGGCTGGCTGTCTACGGCGTGTATCCATTCTTCTTTTTCAGCCTCATCTCCTTCTACTTCTCTAGGGTGAGTTTAGTGGTTAAGGGTGGCTCTGGAGTGAGAATCAGGTTGGAAGCCCATCTACCACTTACCAGCTGTTCAACTGTGGGTGAGTTTCTCAACCTCTTTGAGTCTCAGCCTCATAATCTACTAATTGAGATTTATAGTAAAAGTAGCCACATCATAGGGATATTGTGAGGGTTAGTAAAATCGCACATGTGATTGTAATAAGCACACTGCCAGGCCCTAGTAAGTATTCAGTATTACTATTACAAACCTGATGCCCACCATGACCTCTAGGAAGACTTCCGTAATCATTCAGAAGGGATTTCTTCCTTCTAGGACTTTCCTTCTATCTCATGTATGTACTCTGCTGACTGTCTTCAATCATTTTCCAAATAGGCTAGATATAACTCTTAAATAATACATGCACCTGTACCTCCCGTATGCACTGAACTTGTCATTTCTATAAAGCCCCTCCTCCCCCTACCATACTGCTTGGCAAATTGTAGGGACTTTGCTACAAGTTTTTCAACAGAGTAATTGAAAGAATGAGGGTCACTTTCCCCCCAATATACTGGACTCACTCCAGGACCCTACTGCAGCAAGGGGGTTCCCACCCTGGTTCCCCCTCCCTCAAAAGAACGTGGAGCAAACTTCTGAGGACAGGAGAACGCGGCACCCTCCCCCCTCTTCTGTCCCAGACACACCTTGAGGATCTCATCTCCAACAATGATGATGCCCGCCGTCACGCTGCGCCCTGGGGGAGGTTCAGAGGCCCTAGATGCCATGGTCCTGCCTTCTCTGCCCCTGTGCAAGGCCCTCCAGTAGCAACCCAGACCCCCAAATAGGGGTCGCAAGCACGAGGGGCCCGCCAGGTCTATGGGGCACTGGGGGTCATAGCCTGGGAACAGGGGTTCCGGGATCGAGGGAACCTGGAGGAGCCAGAAAGGACAATGGGGGAGAGCAGGAGTGCAGAGTCTTCCTCATCAGGCCCATGACAATCGACTCCTTTATTTCTGCCTCTTTAACGAACGTGTTCTCAAACCCTAACCCATACCTCTTTTAATGTCTTCTAAGCTTGGTTCTAGTCTCCTTAAATGTCCTTCTCTCCTGAACACCTACCACTTTAAATGTCTTCTGGCCGCCGAGCTCGGCTCCTCTAGGGTCCGCTCTATCTTGGGCACCTGCACCTTTAAATGTCTCTTCTCTTAGGGACACCTGTCCCTTTAAATGTCTACCTTATCCTGGGCCTTGGCCCCTTTAAATGCGTTCCCTCCCTCCACCCCGGCCAGAATTCAGCCACCTACTTCTGCAGGCTTCCACACCCTTTCTAGCCCGGAATCCCGTCTCTTCCCGCCACGCTTCAGACTACCGAGCTCTTCCAGATTCTCACCTGCCTCTTTTGCCCCTTCACCGTGTCTTTCCCTCTCTCCCTTCCTCCTTACTCGGGGCGGCTTTCGTACTCAAGAGTCCCGCCTTAGACTCACACCTACCTCCTATTAATTGGTTATTTTGGCTGTCGCTCAGACCACCTCTAAGGGTCCATTGGTATAGTCCACCGTCGCTCGCGAGCTTTAGCCAGAGGGCGGGAGTAGTACTGGGTTGTTATTGGCGACAACCACGTGGTCACCCCGCACCCGGAAATGTGGGGGCGGGCCTTAGTCGGGGGGCGGGGCTTTTCTCTCGGGACAGGACGTGGGAAGTCTGGGGCGTGAAAGGAGGGTGGTGGTGGCTGGAGGTGTCTTAAGGATTTTGGGGTGTTCTCATCTGATGCTGGAAGTAAAGGGAGGCTTGACTAACTTCCGTTCTGTGTTCAAATTCTTGTATGCATATAGTGTCTGTTATTCATTAACCATGACTCATTCTAGGCTAAGGGGTCAGGGGCTGGTACCTGTGTCAGAAAGGATTTTATATTGGAGCAGGTGGAAGTTGGAGGAACACCAAGAATAATTGTCAGCATTGCCTGTGAGGTAGGAAGACCCCGGAGGTGAGCTTCTGGTATGTGGAACTTTCATTTGTCTGTTATAAACGATAAAGCTAATTACTTAAGCCTCTTTGATAAGAAAAAGCCTTGCCCCACCTTGTTTCAGATGGTGCTTTAAACATAACCTCTCCCAGTTAATTGGTCTTGTAGGTACAAGTGAGGGCAGTGACTAGGGGGCACCATGTGTCCACTTTGGATGCTCATATTATGCTGGCTTCCTCTTATTTCACTTGCCTTTGGTCTAAAAGTGCTTCTTAAACCTTAATGCTCATATGAATCATCTGGGGGCCTTTAATATGTTAAATCTACGAGATTCGGATTTGGGTGGGGCCTGAGAGCTGCATTTAACGAGCTCTCACGTCATGCAGATGCCACTGTTTTATGTAAAGTTCTAAAATTCATATATTTGGAGGACTCCTGAACCACACCTGGCCCCATTTTACTCTCCTAAAAACCTCACAGATAAGATGCCCATTTTACAGATGGGCAACCAGCTCAGAAACATGAAAGGGTGCCACACAACCACAAAAACACTACAGTGGATGGTAGAGTCAGGTTTCTAGACCCTTCTCAAGTAATAAGCCCTGTGTTTTTTCCAATTGAAAGAAACTCAAACTCAAGCTCTTAAAAAAAAAAAAGTTGGGCTTTCCTAATGACATAAGCCTTATGCTACATTGTCTTTATTAGTAATAATGGTAATATTTGACACCCCCCCCCCAACCATCAGCTCTGGTCCAGTTCTTTACAGTGGGTTCTCAAGCTTAAGTGTGCATCAGAATCACCTAGAGAGCTTGTTAAAATGTCACTGGGTCCAACCCTCGGGGTTTGACTCAGTAGGTCTAGGGTGGAGCCCAAGAATGTGCACTTCTAATGAGCTTCCAGGTGAGCTGATGCCTCCAATCTAGGGACCACACTTGAACTACTGCTCTATGAATAAATGGATGAAAGACAGGGAGAAGTGGGGAGGTTAATCTCCCTTACTCAGCACTACTGTTGAAAGTAGAGGATAAGCTATTATTTGGTGAAATGTTTTCTTAAAGGGCCATAGTTTACAACTGTTTTCAAAGGTTAGTGCTGTAACTACCTGCATAAGACTGCTTTAAATCCCCACATCCAGGCCACACCCTAGACCAGTTAAGTCACATCCCTGGGAATGATTTAGGCATCAGCACTTTTAAAGCTACCTAGGTGATTCCAATTCTGAGCCAAAGTGAGAACCACTGAAAATAGCCCAACCAATATGTGGAGTGAACAGGCTTTAGGTGTGCCTGAGCCTTAGGCTGGGCAGGAAGTGGAACACACTAGCAGCCTCCTCCCGACAGCCTCTTCCTATTACCCACCTGTGTCCTTCAAATATTGGGACTACATCCCTGACAAACATTGATTTGGTTTGATGAGATGACGTCCCTGTACAATCACTATCTTAGGCCTGAATTTAGAATGAAATATATTTCAGTAAATGTTTGACAGCAAAGTCTGCTTAAACTAGATTAAAACCCAGTTACCTGAATGTTGAAATAAACCTGACTATCAGCAAAGAGCTGAGCTTCTTTGTTTCACTGAAGAGCATTAGAACCAATTAGAACCATGGTACTGAATGTGATACTCACCCTGTGTGGGGGAAAAAACTTTTACAATTAAGAGAATTATAAAAACTTCCTCTTTAATCAAGGCTTTTAACATGGAACAGATTTCTTGAATAAAATGGAAAGTTTCCAATACATTGAAACATAAATCACCGTACACACAACAGCTGGCAGGAAAAACAAAACAGCAAGTTTACACAATTCCTGTAACAGCCATGGTCTTATTCTCAGATGCTTCCTCCATTTGCAAAGCGTGTTCTACTGGAGACAGAGCTCACGTTGGTTTTTGGGGTCACACTTAGCTGAGGCTGCAACCCAAAGAGCACTCATCTGGCATGGTTGTCCCGCTGGCTCCGCTCAAGAAGCAAAGCAGTCACCAGCAGATTCAAACAGTGTATTGAACATCCTTTAAATATCAAAGTGAGAAATAAGAAGGCAACATAATGTCGTTGGAAAGATGTTAGCAAGTGAGAACAGCTGTGTAAAGCTTGAGGCTGAAAAGTGGCTCCTTAGCTTCATTTCTTTGGCTTCTTGGGCAGTGGCCGCCGGAACAGCAAGATGTGAGGTTCTGAAAGAGTGAGTGAAATCTAAGCGACAAGCTCACATCATCCTATGCACAACCTATGGTGTATCCCACTCCCACTTCCCAGCTATCACCCACTCAGATCTTTATAACTAAATTAAGATTTAAGCATATGGCCTTAGAAACAGACCCAGAAGCCTGGCCAGTGTGCCAAGTACAGAATTGTTAGTATCAGTTCTCTTGCTACGTTTGTACAGCCCCAGGGTGTCCTTTATTAGTTTTGCCTGGCAGTTTGGTCTCTGGTGTCTTATCAAGAAATATACTTTCCTTGGTTTATTTGGAACACATCCAAAAATTCACTTGCTGATGGAGAATAAAGCAGGGGCCACAACCTCTACCAGGATATATGTGGCCTTAAAAAAAAAAAAAAAAAGAGTACCTACTGACTGCATTAGAGATTAAAGGAAGTTTTTGTTTTTTGTTTTTCACAGTGACAGGTTGTGCCTGAACTTCCCAGGTACTTTATTTCTTATTTCTGGTCACTCCTGATTTTCTAGATGGCCGGTGGGGTAAGGAACCAGTAAACCACCTCCACCTTCCCCTTATTTCTTTAGGTTGTACAATTTTTTTTTTAAATTAAAGAATTCTTTTTTTAAAATTTATTTTTATTTTTTGGTGAGGAGGGAGGTAATTAGGTTTATCTCTTTATTTTTAGAGCAGGTACTGGGGATTGAACCTAGGACCTCATGCATGCTAAGTGTGCGCTCTACTACTTGAGCTATACCCTACCCTCTAGGTTGTGCAAATCTTATTCCTGCCATTGCACTGACCTGGTTCATGGATCATGTAATGGACCCATCCCTGACTCTGCTGAACACCAAGATTCCTCCATTCAGATTCGGACATCAAATGGGTTTTAGGGACCAGCTTGGCTATGTCCTTGGGCAACATGACATGCCTGTAATAGAAACATGGGAAGGTGGGGAATTTGTCAGTTCTGGGTTCCATCTGTCAGATAAGTGCCTGCATATAAAGCCAAGAGAGGAGAGAAAAGAGACCAGTTCCTAATGGCAGGGAGTTTACATAATCTTATTGAGGGGCAGAGGCAGCTAGAAATAAAGGCCAAATTATGTAAATCCTCACAAAAGTATATTAAAAAGTACAAACTAATGAGTAACACCAGTGAATGAGCACCTAAATTCTGGACTGTTTATACACTGCCTCTGCCTTCTTGGAGCTGACAGCCTTCTAGCTGATTACCCTAAAACAATGTAATGGGAGCCCCACAACACACAGTGTTAATAATTAAAGGCAGTTTTGAACAGGATTGGTAAGGAAGGGAGAGAAGTGATTTCATGGAGAAGAAAGGCCTATCCGGGAATGCTGTGTGGAAGAGTCAGCACAAAGGATGAAATGCAAATGTCTTACCCTTTAAGCTCTAACTTCAGTTTCATTTTCCTAACTTAAGGGATGTGCCATGAGACTTCTTTTGGGAAACTCCATGCTTTCCTAACCAAGGTTAAGTCTCCTTTCATGGCAAAGAAATGGGCTGACCCACACAGGCTTCAAGTTTAATGAAAATGTACCAAATGCTCTCTCTGTGCTAGTGAAAGGTTTTTTTCCCCTCAAAGAATCAATTCTAGTCTAACTGTCTGAAAACAGCTTATATCCTAACAAGCCCCTGGTGTAGAGACTGGCCTCCATACCTATTTAGACCCCCAAAACCCTTTTCTTAAACCAAAAACCACTGCCAAGACTTAAATTTTCCAGGGGATGAAACTAGTGATGTCTCCCTAGCCCTGCAAAGACATTATAAGCAGGTAATTTTAGTTGGCCTAGTTCAGATGTAGAGGAAAACAGCTGAGGAAAGTAGAGGAAAAGAAAGTTAATTGGGTCCAAACAGGGCCGGTGGTCTTTCCCCAAGGATCTGGCATAAAGATAGTTATGTATTTGTCAGCACAGTTCTCCAGAGGGCCCAGAGCCCCGCACTAGGCTGGAGAAGAAACACAAGAGAGCCAAGCTTCCAGCTGTTTTAAGTATTACGCTTAATACAGATTAGTGGAATGCCAAGATTAGTAGAATCCTCTGTCTTCCCTAATTTTCTAATGTAGAATTATGGATTTAGGATTTATCAAATGCAGATTCTATTGGGAGTCCTTTCTTCACAATGCTTAACAAGTCCCATGTGTTCCCACTGCAACCTATACATACCTGTTATACCAATTACCACCTTCCTTCTGAAGTCTATCAGTATGTCAGTATTTCCACAGGTTTTTAGGTTTGTTGAAAGCAGAGACATGGCGTAGCCTCGCACTTTAGCGGAACACCTGAAACCTATAAGCACTCCATAACTGTTTCCTAAGTAGATGCCCTTTAAATATTTAAAGGGAATTTATTAGGTACGTATTAAATCTTTTCTCGATGTTCTTGGACAGTTTTATTCCACTCCAGTTACTCGAAGCTCCCTTCCTAAAACAAACCACACAACCACGCCCCTTTTCCGTGAATTAATAAGCAACACTCAGGCTCTCTCAGAACTCTTCTCACTTTGAAGATGCGAGAAAATTCGCGGGCCGCCTTTGCCACCTTCTCCCAGGAGGCTCTATTGTGTTACCGCGATACAAGTAGTCACAAGAAAACAAAAGAAAAAAAAATAACAAGTAGTTTCAAGAAGGCAAGTTCAACTTGTTCTATAAAGTTGAGAGAAAGATCGAGAAACCCGAGAGAGTGAGGGTGGTCAGCATTCTTACCACGCCCACCTATGCCTCCTCCCAACAGGAGAATTTGCTCCAAATTCTCTATCACTTTGGGGTTTCTTTCATGATCGCCCCCTACCCTTCGCGCAAGCGCCTTACGCTCCCATAACTCACACCCAGCCTGTTAATCTCCCGCGCATGCGCGGATTCTGCAGCTTCAGTCCCCGTTACTAGCTCCTTGTGCCCTCACTCATCAAAGCTCACGATCTCGTTATCGCCCCCGCGCCGGCACTAACCGGTACTCGAACTCCTCATCGTCGTATTTGTCCGAATAGTAAATTTGTTTGTGCGACATGACCGCTCCGCCTGAGGACCGTCAGTCCTGCCCCGCCAACCTCCAAACAACTCCCAGCAGCACGCGCTCCCACCCTCTTTGGCCTCGCTTTCAAACACGCCGCCCGCGCTTCCTATTGGTCCGTCTGGCTGAAGGCGGGACAACTCCACCTTCAAGCCTCCAATTGGCTAAGATTTGCTTCTCCTCGAGTCCTTATTGGAGTGCCCGGCTTACGTTTCTCAAGAACAAGCGTAAGTCAAAAATAGGCCTCTTATTGGCTATCACTGCTCCTGTGCGCGTTCTAGCGCTGCCATTGGCTGATTCGGGAAAGTGGGCCGGGTGAAGGAGGGACGATGAGGTAGAGGGTCAGGGGTTAGTGAGGCCGGAAGTGAGTGCAATAAAGTTTCTCCAGGGAGGCAGGGCCCGGGGAGAAAGTTGGAGCGGAGGCCTAAGGAGGCAGTGGTGTGATCCGGAACCAAATCGGCCCGCGGTGCGGTGCGGAGACTCCATGAAGCCCTGGTGAGTTGGGACTTCTTCTTTCCCCTAGGTGACCCACTCCTCCACCCCGGAACCCCTCTCCCGGGACCCTACTTCCGGTCTTCATTTATAAGTCCCGCCCCCTGCGACCCCCTCCCCGGAAGTCCCACCTCTCAACTTCAAGGGGCTCCCCGAACCCCGACTTATTTTCTATTTATTGTCCCCGACCGCACCCTGTCCCCCAGCTTTCCTGGAAGTCCCACCCCTAGGCATGCTTCCAAGCCCAACTACTAGAAACCCTACGTTAGTCCCTCCAATTCCCCGAAACTTCGCCTCGTTGCGATTATTCTCTGCTAACTCCCGTCTATCAGAAAGCCTATCTCCCAAAAGGGCAAAGCCCTACTGCCCCTCAAAGAACTATTCGAATTCGCGAAGCTACGCCTCCTAGGGGGTTCCGCCCCTCTAGAAGCTCCACCCCTTCCGTAATCCACGTCGGATTGCCCAGAAGGCTAGCTAGTGTTTGATGCACGCGTCCTAGGGAACCACGCCCCCTCAGGAACTTTATCCCTGTAGGACCCAGGTCATCGGTCATCGCCCCGGAAGCTTTGCCTTCTATCCCAGAAACTCCACCTGCTTACAGATCCTTGTTCTTTTTTCCTTTGGTGGCTTTTGCTTAGTTTTCCTGAGCTCTCATGCTCCACTGGGTGGGAAGTCAAAAATTCACATCTCTGACTCTGAAGAGTAAGAGATTAGAGGCAGCACTTTTCCTCTCCCTTACCCCCTTCCAAGGGTGGACCTACTTGAAGGGGGCTGGACTTGGGGTTTGGCACGAGAGTGGGAGGGAGACTTGCTCATAGATTCCCAGCCCCACTCCCTGAGTTTCCCTTCCCAGGACCGACTCCACCCCAGAAACAGCTGTTTGTCTCATACCTGTACGTCGGGAGCTGGGTATGACCATGGGTTTGTTGGTGGGTGACATGTAGGTGTGACAGGAGTGAAAGTTTTCGACTACCAGAAAACGGTCGCTTGGAGGGGGCGTAGGGAACAGTGTCCTTTCTGCTATCTGATTTTTTTTAAGGGACTCCTCGGGCCCCACCTCTTCTCTGGCTGTTCCCCTCCCCCTAACCAGAGTTCTAGTCTGGGCATTCCTCCTGGTCCCGCTTGCCCAACCTTCCCTTCTGGAAACATTCCTGAGGCTTTCGCCATTTCCTGCTACTTTCTGCCGCTCTTCCCTCCTCCCTGCTGGGCTGAGAAGCCACATGCAGCTTCTTCCCCACCCCCCCAGTCACCCGGGTTCCCAGTAGCAATCTCCTTTTCCTATGCAAATTTAAAGAGCCCTACTTCCTCTTTCTTGTCGAACAATGCCCACACCTCTTGGTCTTTCCCTGCCTCTGGATCCTGCAGGCACCCACAGAATGCTCACCTCTAGAGATGATGACATCCTGGTGTGTGTTTGTGTGTGTTGAGGATTTGAGGCTTTGGCAGAACACTTATCTCATTTTCTATATTCCCGGGCCTTAGGCCTTAGGACATGGAGTGATAGAATTTCTTCCCAGGAGTGGTGGATGGAGTGGAGTGGCAAAGCTCTCCTCCATTGAGGACTAAGGGGAGGTGATAAGCACAGTATCTATCACGGATTAAGTGCTAGTGTTGTTAATCACTGTAATCATGATATTTGCATCTTTTTATCCTCTGAGTAAATTGAAGGATAGGTGAGCCCTGGAGGGTTATATGGGTCTTTTACTACTAATTTTTTGGTCACTTTCTAACTTCCCTATAAGCCCCTGGAACAGAGCTGTGGCAGGAAGCTGTGAGTGGAAGAACTGGGTTTGGGACAGTTCCCTGTGTCCAGCCTCAGTCCATCTTCTCCTGGCACCCCTTTTTCTTGAGCACAGATTTGTCTTCTACCCCCTCTATTCCTTCATGGACTGTAGCCCCCGCCTCTCTTGGAGAACTGTTTCACTCTCCCATCTCCTCCAACCAGACTCTGCCCCTGGTGTGAGGGCCATCGTACTCGGTGGTGGACACCTGTACCCTCCCCAGTCACTGCTGCAAGAAGAGGGGTATGAGCTTACCTGGCAGGTCCAGGGAGCTGACCTTAGTATCAGTACTCTGGCCGCCCCCACCCCTTCTACCCTTGACAGCTTGCTTCACTGTAGAAAAGGGGGCAGAAGAGTGCTTGGCATGGGCCGTGGCTCCTTGGCATGGTAGGTGCCATGCATAGAGAGCAAGCCTCCACCGGCCCCTCCTCTGCTCCAGCTCCTGCCTGGTGGCTCCCTGATGCACCACCCAGGTTGGACTTTATTCCTCTTATTTCACCAGCTTTGCCCTTCCTTTTGGCCCCTCCCTGCATCCACTGGGACTTCATCCTTCCTCTTCCGTTTCTTTAGCTCCTTCCACAGCTGTTGTAGCAGAAGATGCTAATGGCCCAGGCTCCCTGGGGCCACCACCCCACAGTGTGGTAGTCGTGGGGGTGGCTGGGGCTGGAGGATGAGGGAATTTGAGTGTTCAACCAGGACTGGAAGGGAAATGCTGAGCTCAGGGATCCCCTCCCTTTCCCACCCCCAGCTGCCTCTGTTTCCTCCCTCATTCCCCATCCCCCTCAGCTTCCTGCTCCCTTTGGTCTGCCCATGTCCGGTTTGGATTGATCCAGACCTCTTATCTCCCTCCTTTCCTTCTCACTCCTCCATCCTTCCCTCCCACTCCCACTTTACTGCTCCCCAGATTACTTGTTTGTATGGGGGTGTGGGGGAAATGGATCACTCTGCCCCATAAGAGTTCTAGGTTGGGGCAGTGTTGGGGGCTCAGCCCCTCAGAGCCTGTGAGTCAGCACTGTCCTCAGGATTGGTCTCTCTCCTTAGTTCCCCGCCCCTGGGGAGGAGCCAGGCAGCTCTAGGTCCAGCCTGTTCGCCTCTCAGCCAGAGAAGAGGCTCCACGCTGGGCGGAGATGGGGCCTGATACTGTCTGGGTCTGAGCTGGGGGAGCCAGAGCCACTTGTCCCTCTCCCTCCCCAGGACCCTTGAGATCCCTGGGCCATAGAGGTCCGATCAGGCTAAGGGCCTGGGGATGCCCCCTGCCTGGCCCCCTTGCCCTAACTGGCAGGGGGGCCAGGCTGGGCAGCAGCCTCCCTCTCACTCCCACCAGCCATGGATCTCCTGCCCCCCAAGCCCAAGTACAACCCACTTCGGAATGAGTCTCTGTCATCGCTGGAGGAGGGGGCTTCAGGGTCTACCCCACCGGAGGAGCTGCCTTCCCCGTCTGCCTCATCCCTGGGGCCCATGCTGCCACCTCTGCCTGGGGACGACAGTCCCACTACTCTGTGCTCCTTCTTCCCCCGGATGAGCAACCTCAAGCTGGCCAACCCGGCTGGGGGGCGTCCAGGGCCGAAGGGGGAGCCAGGAAGGGCAGCCGAGGATGGGGAGGGGATCGTTGGGGCAGCCATCCTGGACTCAGGCCCCCTGCCCCTCCTCCAGGACATGAACAAGCTGAGTGGAGGCGGCGGGCGCAGGACTCGGGTGGAAGGGGGCCAGCTGGGGGGCGAGGAGTGGACCCGCCACGGGAGCTTTGTCAATAAGCCCACGCGGGGCTGGCTGCATCCCAACGACAAAGTCATGGGACCGGGGGTTTCCTACTTGGTTCGGGTGAGTGAACATCCTCTATCCCACTCCCTCCAGACCCCTCCAGTTCCTCTGCTCACTCGTCTCTTTTTTTTCCTTCCCTTCCCCAGCGACTCCCTTGGTTTCAGTGTTCTCTTTCTTCAACCTCTCTTGCCCCTTTTCGGATTCTGTAGCCCCTTCCCTTCCAGCTCTGTCTGGGGCCCCTTTCCTTCTGGTGACTCCCCCACCCCCACCCTGCCATGCTTAGCACAAAGCCCAGCACAGGCCCTTAGTAAGTGTTGGAACCAGTGGCTCTTGATTGTCCCCTCCAGTCTCCTCCCCCTTTCCAGAGATGTCACTTCATCCCACCCAATGCCTGTCGCTCCCCTCCAAATTCTCTTCCCACCTGTATGAGGTCCTCCTAGCTTGCCCTTGTCTCCACATCCCCTGTTGTCCTGCATGTTGTGGGATGTAGCCCGGGGCAGTGGGCAGAACTTCTTCATCTTTACTGCCCTTAGTGACTAAGTAGGGAAAAGTCCTAGGGCCCTTTGTGAAAAGGTGGCGGGGAGGCGGCTGACCCTTCTCTTCCCGTCCCTCCCCTCAGTACATGGGCTGTGTGGAGGTCCTGCAGTCAATGCGTGCCCTTGACTTCAATACCCGGACTCAGGTCACCAGGTTAGTGGGGAGTGGGGTGGAGTTGGGGGGTGGTCCCTGGGATTAGTGAGGGGAAGGAGGAGTGGGTCATTTGGTGGTGGTGCTAGTCCTGGCTTATCTTTGGGCGGTAAAGGGGGTTGAGAGAAACTTAGGGGAGTGAGTCTAAGTCTGAATGAAAAGAAGCAACTCTGGCCTGGCTCCTTTTTACTTATCCAGCCTGGGGAGTTGTGGGGGAGGTGTCAGAGGCAGCCGGCAGCTGGAGCTTGAGTGGAAAATGGGGGTAGATAGAAGGTTGCCTCTGCCTTTGGGAAGGGGATGGGACATTTGGTAGCTGGAAGGGGGTGGGGCCAGACCCATTGAGGCCCTAACCCAATCAGCCAGGAAGCGGCTTCTCAGTGTCATCAAATATTAAAGGCCCTTAATTCAATCCACCACGACAAAGAGCCTGGAGTGCCCCTGGAGTCTGGCCTGGCCTTCCCCTCCCCCAGCCCTGTGGCAGCTCCAGCCTAGTGGGATACAGGCTCTGGGTCTGAGTACCCCTCTTTCCCCAGGGAGGCCATCAGTCTGGTGTGTGAGGCTGTGCCGGGTGCTAAGGGGGCGACAAGGAGGAGAAAGGTACCTGGGGTCCATGGGGCTAGGGATGCAGCTGGGAGATGTGGAGGAACCCGGGGAAGGCTAGTGTGGGGCATGTGGGGAGAAGGCCAAAAGGCAGGAATGTGGGGGTTTCCTGGTGTTGGGAACCCCCAGCTGCTGAGACCCTTGGGCCCTTCCCTAGCCCTGTAGCCGCCCACTCAGCTCCATCCTCGGAAGGAGTAACCTGAAATTTGCTGGAATGCCAATCACTCTCACCGTCTCCACCAGCAGCCTCAACCTCATGGCCGCAGACTGCAAACAGGTTGGTGGGGTTGGGTGGAGAGGAGGGCTACCAGAAATACTGATGGGAGGGCTAAACGAGGACCTGATTATGAGGGCAAAAAACTAGGAGAGAAGGCTCCGGCGGAGCAGAACAGTAGGGGAGGAGGAGATTAGGCGGACATGGGTTGAAAAGCCTAAAGGATGAGACTGGGACTCCAGGGTCCTGGGCCAGTGGTGGGGGGTGCCCATGTGGTCCCTGAAGCTGCCTGACACGTGTCATTCCCTCCCTTTTCTGTCTCCTGCCTGTAACCCTCAGATCATCGCCAACCACCACATGCAATCCATCTCGTTTGCATCCGGCGGGGACCCGGTGAGTTGGGGAACGGAGCTCAGGCTGTGGGAGAAGAGGCAGGAGCAGGGAATTGGGATGACCCCGGCTTGGCTAGAGACGCGGGCATGCTAGGATTGAGGCAAGGTTTAAAGAAGACTGGGGTTGAGTGAGGTGGGGGCTATAAAATATAGCTAACTGGCTTTTTCTGACTCTGTCCACCTCAGGACACAGCTGAGTATGTTGCCTATGTTGCCAAAGACCCGGTGAATCAGAGAGGTGAGGCGTGGTGGGGAGCACTGGGTGGGGCTGGCTGACCCAGGAGCTAAGTGGGGGCTCTTGCTGTGGAGGATGGAGGGTGAGGGTCCCTGTCTATGCCTTCTTCTGGCCCCGCCACCCCCGAGCTCCCTGACAGCCTCTGCTGTGCCCCCAGCCTGCCACATCCTGGAATGTCCAGAAGGGCTCGCTCAGGACGTTATCAGCACCATTGGCCAGGCCTTTGAGTTGCGCTTCAAACAATACCTCAGGAACCCGCCCAAGCTGGTCACCCCCCATGACAGGTGAGCGGGGGAGGGGTGCAGCTCTGGGGCCCCAGGCCGGAATTGGAAAAGTAGGTCTTCTCTTCCCACACTTGAGCTCAGAGCGGTGCAGGGAAGGAAATAACCTGTGCACCCGTGCTTCCCGCTTCCTGCTATTCTTACGTTTCCTGCGGCCTCAGGAAGGTCTTTCGAGGCCCTGCCAGCTGCAGGGCCAGCGGTTCCTCTCCTGTGCCCGTGGCGGAGCCCAGTCCAGGACCTCCACGCTGTGGCCCTACCCTGGCTCACTGGGCTTTTGTATTCCCAGCCATCTTGTTTCTGGTCTTTCCCTTTCTCTTGCCCATTTCTCCATACTTAGTTCTTTGTTTTCTTGCCCGTTGAAGAATTTGGGCGAGGGAGGAGGGCTCTTTCCCGCGATCCTTACCTTGCCCAGCCCAGCCCAGCCCAGTAGGTATTGAGTATTTAGAAGAGGTTAAAATATTCTGGAGCACCCACTTCCCCCTGCTGGTACTTAGGGCTTCTTCTCTCTCAGGAGACAGCATGACTTTAAAGTCAAATCTGAAATTACATCTCTGCTCCACCACCTTTCAGTTGTGAGACCTAGGGTAAATCTTTTCACCCCTAACCCTTATTTTCCTCATCTATAAAACTGGAGAAGGATATAAGACCTGCCCTACCAGGTTGCCACGATGAAATGATTATGTATATAAAACACCCAGCCTCCTTCCTCAGGGAATGCCCAAGACATGGCTGCTGTTCTGTTCTCCCTCTGTCCTCCCACCCACATGCCTCACTCCCTCCTGTCTCTCTCAGGATGGCTGGCTTTGATGGCTCAGCGTGGGATGAGGAGGAGGAAGAGCCACCTGACCATCAGTACTATAATGACTTCCCGGGGAAGGAACCCCCTCTTGGGGGGGTGGTGGACATGAGGCTTCGAGAAGGAGCCCCGCCGGGGGCTGCTCGACCCACTCCACCCAGTGCCCAGACTCCCAGCCACCTGGGAGCTACTCTGGTGAGTTGCTTGGATGGAGGTGGGCTAGGTCCAGGATGGAAGCAGCTGGTTAGGGCCTTTGGTCTCACCCTATTTTTGTCCCTTCAGCCTGTGGGGCAGCCTGTCGGGGGAGACCCCGAAGTCCGCAAACAGATGCCGCCTCCACCACCCTGCCCAGGTATGAAGGGAGCCTAGAGGGGCAGAGCCGGGGTGTAAGAAGCAGGGTAGGGGTCACTGTAGAGCCACCCTTTCCTCAGCAGGCAGAGAACTCTTTGATGATCCCTCCTACGTCAACGTCCAGAACCTAGACAAGGCTCGGCAAGCCGGGGGCGGGGCCGGGCCCCCCCATCCTGCCATCAATGGCAGTGCTCCTCGAGACCTCTTTGACATGAGTGAGTGCTCCTCTCCCCTTTCTGCATCTCCGCCTTCTACTTGGTTCCTCTTCCCCTGTCTGTTCTGTCCTTCCTAGCCTCCTGTCCCCAAAGGTCTGGGTCCTGGGCATTTGCTGTGCCAGCTGCCTCTCCTAGCCCTTTCTCTGCCACCCTCAGAGCCCTTTGAAGATGCCCTTCGGGTGCCTCCACCTCCCCAGTCGGTGGCCATGGCTGAGCAGCTCCGAGGGGAGCCCTGGTTCCACGGGAAGCTGAGCCGGCGGGAGGCCGAGGCACTGCTGCAGCTCAATGGGGACTTCCTGGTGCGGGAAAGCACGACCACGCCTGGCCAGTACGTGCTCACCGGCTTGCAGAGTGGGCAGCCCAAGCACCTGCTGCTGGTGGACCCTGAGGGTGTGGTGAGTGTGGCCGGGTTGCGGGTCGGGGTGAAGGTTCAGTATCCTCCTGCGCAGCCCCGTTCCTTCCCTCGCTGCTGCCTAGACTTTCCGCTGGGCATCTCTGTCTGGGCCTCCCCTGCTCTCTAGGTGCCTGAGACTTAGGGTCCCTTCCCTTCTCACATTCCTGAACCTGTGTTCCCTTCAGGCCTGGCCAATCCCCACACCTTATGCCCATGAGAGCTAGAAGGAGCCCCTCTTTTGACAAATGTGGAAACCATCCTTGAGCGGTTGTGGTGGTCAGTGTTAGATGGCTAGAGGCTAAGCACCCCAAGCCTCCTGTCACAAGAGGAGTCAGGGCCCCCCCCCCAGTGCCTCCAGACTCAGGGCTTAGACCAGCATCCGTCGCCTGTCTGCATTGCCCCTCTGTTTCTCTTAACTTTGGTCTCTTTTCTATGATAATCTCAGCTTCCTTTGCACATCTTTTTTTGTACTGTGTATCCTCTTCTGAGACATGCTACCTTCCTCCAGGTCAAGGAGGTGTAGCTATCCCTCAGCTTCACAATTTCTGGGCTGATGTCCCCTCTACCTTTTCCCAGTTCTCTGACCTGCCCATTCCCACAGCTGTCTCCAGCTTCTCTTTGTAGGGAAGCCTCAGTGATCAGAACTGACAGCCCTCCCACTCCTGCCATCTTTTTCTCCTTCCTCACCCATCTTGAATATTCCAGCTTCCTCAGACTTGGGGCCTGAGGTCTTATTTGAGTCTTCACCTGAATTGACCCTCTCCCCTCCCACTTCCTAGGTTCGGACAAAGGATCACCGCTTTGAGAGTGTCAGTCACCTCATCAGCTACCACATGGACAATCACTTGCCCATCATCTCTGCGGGCAGCGAACTGTGTCTACAGCAGCCTGTGGAGCGGAAAGTCTGATCTGTCCCAGTGCTCTCTCCCAGAAGATGCCTGCGACCCCTTCCACCCTATTCCCTGACTCTCAGGACCTCACTTGGGAGTGTTCTGTGGGCTTGGCCTTGTGTAGGAGCTGGGGGTAGTGTGGACACTGGGTTCACCATCCAACTGAGTGAGAGGGTTTGAGTCAGGAGCCTGGGGTAGAGTCCTGCTTCTCCCCAAACCTCACCAAAGTATTAATGTACAGAGTGGCCCCCTTCCCTGGGCCTTTCCTGTGCCAACTTGATACCCCCTTCCCCAAGGTGGGTGCTGGAGGCTGGGGCAGTTTGCCCCCTTGTAATGGAAAATGTCCTGTGGTGATAGGCCCAGTGGAGCAATCACCCTTCCAGGGAAGGGGGAATGAATCACACCTCTAGTCTATCCCTGGGCTCAGGGTACCCTAGACCCCTCTCAACAACCCTCCCTTCCAGCGTTTAAACTTTGTGCCTTTGACCATCTCCTAGGTCTGAAGATATTTTATGCAAAGTGTTCTTGGGCCCTTGACGTCAGGCATGGAGGTGCTGACACCTTCTTGGCTTCTGGGGCCCTGTCCTCTCCTTGCTCAGCAACCCCTCCAGTTTAGGTTGGGCAGACAGAGGCAGGAGTGGCAGCTGTCCCCTCTCTCTGGGGATACGCAACCTTTAGATTGCCTCAGCGCCCCCCTCCTGGCCAGCAGGGAGATGGACCCCTCCCTTTCTCAGTGCCTCTGGTGGGGGGGAGGGCGGGGGGCCCTCACCCCAGGGGTCTGTATATACATTTCGTAAGCCCGCGCCTCCCATGTTGCATGCATGTTATATTCTACAGCCAAAGTATAGCCCTTCCTCCTATAGCCTCTGCCCTGCCTCTCCCTGCTGGGGTGGTGGGGGGATGACTGAACTGTTAACTCTCCCAGGTGGATTTTGTGGAGTTGCGAACAGGGGCTTTGAGACTGTAAAGCAGTAGACAATCCCCAAATACCATCGGTAGATTTGGAAGTGCATTTATTTTTTATTTTATATGCATTTATTTTAGGGCTGTAGATTGTCTTTCCTAATTTGTTTTCCACGGCTGCTTCTTGAGCACAAAATGATAATAATCGAACACATTTATATATCACCTCTTTGACTTTTCAAAGGCCTTTTACAACTATTGGAATTTTCTTCACCCAGCCTGTGAGGCAGTCGGGACCGGAACCTTTAGAAGTGGAGTGTGAGCTGAAACTAGAGAAACGGGCCTCTTGCTGTGAGGCTGGGAGGCAGAAGTTTGTCTGAGTGTCAGTTTCACACGGGGAAACGTAAAGCCTGCAGTTACGGGATCCCTTGCCCAGCCCTGCTCTAGACCTGGGGCAGCCACAACGACAGAGGAGCCGGCCCTGCTCTGTCATTAGGTCTTGTGGATAAGGGAGAGTGGACTGAATCCTCGCCTTTTTTTGTTTTGTTTTGATGTTTTCACGGGTCTCACTTATACCAAAGGGAAAGAATCTTCATTAAAGTCCGTATTTCTTCTACCTCGGCCTCTAGGTCCCTGTCGCTGCTTTTTGTTGGCTGTGGGCCTCCACGGCTGGAAGGGGAGGCGGGAGGCTGTGGCCGCCTCAAGGCACGGACCGGTCCACCTGGCCCTTCGGCCTGGCTTGACTCAGAAGCCGCCTGCGGGCACCTGGGGGTTCGCGGAGGAGGTGCGCCGGGGCAGGGAGGGCGAGATCGGGTGGGCCTTGCGGGGCCACGGCACCGGGAGAGGGGTAGTGATCGCGATGGGTGGGCC